TAAGCTCTTCAAACAGAATAAAGATTTCCATTTAGCCTTGGCCGGCCCTTCAAAAGAGGCAAAAGTTTTCCCATGGAGTCCAACACATGCTGTCTAACGTCTGTAGCCTGTGTGCTACTTTTCCAGCAATCTAATGAAAGTTTGGTCACCACCGCTCTGACACCGCTCTGAAAGCCACAGTCTCGCCTGCCAGTCCAGCGCCAACTTCTCATGGTTCCATCAGTATACCCATCCTGCATCAGTGCAACCCAAACGATTTCCCAGGCAACGGGCATAACATAAGCCCGTTTGTTTAAACATGGAGGTAACCTGGCATGCATCTGGAACTTACTCATAAACTGAATGAGCCATTAATACAGATTCATCTTCTTATTTTATAGTCTCAACAGTGTGAATAGCTTTGTTCCACCCACCAACCAGACTGTGAACACACTGATAAATTGCCACTTACTGGTCAAGTGCAGGTGCTGCCATTTGCACCAGCAACACATGCCAGCACCACCACAGGCCTGTTAAAGAGACACATTACCCTTGAAAGTCCATGTGAGAAGCGAGGAAAAAAAAAAGACTGTATTTGTCAGAGACACCCAAGAGGTTACAAAAATGATGCACAAGCCTTGGTTCTGCTCTGAGCAAGGTCAGAAATGAACTAGAGCTCATGGCACAAACGCAACTGAAAAGTGACACAGAATTCCCCAATGAATGCAAGCAATCATCCCCCCTGTAGAGAATTCATCTGCCATAGCCAATTACAATGGTTTCATTCATTCAAATATGCTCTAGTATTGTGTATTATTCATATTGTGCATTAATGTTATTTTTATATACAATATAAAATAATAATAATTTTGAAGGCAACACTCATAAATGTTGTCAAGATTTGCAATGTATTAGAGTTTAAAATATTCCATTAATGATTCACAAATTAATGTTTTATTTGAAAATATAGCACCATAAAACATGGCGCCATCCATTCATTTTCATCCGCTTTTCTGTGGCCGGGTGGCGGGGGCAGCAGTCTTATGAGAGAACCCCAGACTTCCTTCTCCCTAGACACTTCCTCCAGCTCCTCTGGGGGCATCCCGAGGCATTCCCAGGCCAGCCGAGAGATATAGTCCCTTCAGCGTGTCCTGGGTCTTCTCTGAGACCTCCTCCCGGTGGGACATGCCTGGAACAACTTCCCTAAGTAGGCATCCAAAAGTCATCCGAAACAGATGCACAAGTGACCTCAGCTGACTTCTCTCGATGTGGAGGAGCAGCGGCTCTACTCCTGGGTGACAGAGCTCCTCACTCTCTCTATAAGGGTATGGCCTGCCTCCCAGCGAAGGAAACTCATTTCGGCCACTTGTATAAAAGATCTTGTCCATTCGGTCAGGACCCAAATCTGAGAGTAGGAATGTAGATTGACTGGTAAATCGAGAGCTTTGCCTTTCGGCTCAGCTCCTTCTTTTTCACAACTGACCGATACATCTTCCACATTACTGCTGCCACTCCACTAATCCACCTGTCAATCACACGTTCCATTCATCCCTCAATCATGAGCAAAACCCTAAAACACTTGAACTCCTCCACCTGGGGTAAGGACTTTCCCTCCAACCTGGAGATGGCAAACCACCTTTTTCCGGTGGAGCACCATGGGCTCAGAGGTGCTGATTCTCATCCCAGTCGCATCACACTCAGCAGCAAACCACCCCAAGTGCATGCTGAAGGTCCATGTTTGATGAAGCCAACATAACAACGTCTGAATAACAGAGTTGAAATCCTGTGGTCGCCGAACTGGACCCTCTCCAGGCCAAGGCACTTTGAAATTATGTCCATAAAGTTATGACCAGAATTGGCACTATTTATGGGTAACTATAACTTCCCAATAATATTATTAATCATAAATCAACTCAACTCAGTTTTATTTCTAGACCACTTTCAATTAACCACCATAGGTAACAAAGAGCTCTACATAAAAACACAAAATAAATGCAAACAAGCAAGGAGCCAAAAGAAATATGTAAACTTACAGCACATGATTAAAAGCTAAAGAAAACAAGTGTGTTTTCAGTGACCCCCACATAGAAAATTTCTCTGGCCCAGCTCTGGCCCACACAATCAGTGTTCGCTTGGCTCATATGCCGCAGTGATTTACGGTACATGATTGGACCAAGTCTGGCTTCCAGGCAAGGGCCAAACATGGACCATGTCTGGGTCAAGTTTTAGTCAGGTTAATAACCCATAACTGAGCCTAAACTGGGCCACTGTCTGAAAGACAAATTCCAGTAGCAACATACAGGACAAGAATAATTAATAACTCAAACAATTAAATCTTCATTGTTTTCTGGATTAAAATGAAGGCACTGCAATATGCAAACAGAAGGGTGGAAATTATTTTGTCTATTAATATATTTCTTCACTCAAAAAAAAAAAAAAGAATTAAAGAATTTTAAATGTGGGTCAGGATAAGCCAATCTTACGTGGCCCACCAATACATTTTTAATATCTGGGCCAAATACAACATTTAACATCTGGCCCATGTCTTGTGCCACCTCTGCCAAACCTGTGTCATGTTTGCCCCACATGCTATATGACAGAGCTAGATGAATGCATGCTGTGCCCGCTTTAAACCAAATCTGGGCCAGCATTCTTTGCTACCTGGAAGATGTTCTTAAATAAAAAAACATATTAATAATAATAATAATCATTTAATTTCTGACACAGTAAAAAAAACAAGAAAAACTAAGGAGGAACACAACACAATAAACACTTTGCTATAGTGCTATATACAGTAGTGCTAGCTGAAGGATCTAATGTTCAGAACCTGAAAGTGAAAGGTTGTAGGTTCGAGTCCCATAAAAGCTAAAATTGTCACCACCTGTGCAAGATATTTAACCAGAAAGAAGTAACCATGCTTCTTGCTTTGCAAAATGTCTGCTTTAATTAATTCAGAAATGAAAATCTGTCATTATCGACATCATCATGAATTGTTGCTCCAAACCCATATCCTGACCACTATACTGTATCTAATATAAAAGTGATAAGAACTTGAACAAAAAAAGTTATAATTTAGTAAGCTGGATATATGACCAGATACATCAGTCAAAGGGTTTAAACTTGAGATTCAAATCAGTTTGATTCATCATTAGCCAACTGTGGATGTCAATTCTTTTATGGTTCTGTTGCGAAAATTCACAAACAGCATCAGAAATGTGTGTAATAAGAGCTACAACACTATCAAAATGTATTAACAAGCAACAGATCATCATTTTGAGCAAAATACTAGCCCACGGATGCAATGTTCATTATTTACAGCAACAAGATTAAATTAATTTAATCTTAAACCAATTATAAGGCAGAAGCTTTTAATCCAGCACCTGCATGACATCACTAATGATGATGATGATGATGATGCTGTATCAATGAGTTAAATGTCCAATTAATTGAGTCCTGTGTCATTTCTAGCTAGTTAACTTCTATCTGATAGTTACTTTGTAATTAGTTCTGTGAAAATGAGTTCTGTGAAGTAGATAGGACTCAAAATCACTTGTTCATTCACAAACGTTTCTAAATCTAATTTCCAGTGAATTCTATTTAAATTCTGCTCTGTTCCAAAATAAAAATGAACATAAGTGAAATAAGTATTTCATAAGTCACTCATAAATAAGATTGAAATGGAACCTTTATCATGTCTAATTTTTGCAGCATGGCACAAAAAAAAAAAAAAAAAAAAATACACAGCAAAAAAATGTTTTTCTTACAATGAGGCTGCGTCCGAAACCGCCTACTACTCAGTAGGTACTGCATTTGAATTTAAACGTACTACTCGGCCGTTAGAAAAGTACGTTCTATACAGTATGAATGTGAAAAGTATGAATGGAATTCGGATGTACTACATCCACCATTTTGACATAGTCACGTGACGTACCTGCGTCATTTGAGTCGCTTAACTCCCATTCATGAATTCGCTCGCGGGGCATAATGGGATAGCGCAGCATGCATGGGATGCACACTCCAGAATCTCGTTGGAAGTAGTAAGTCATCTGGGTACTTCTCGCATACTGTTTTTCGAATTCTATGAATTCAGACATACTACTCGGCTCGCATACTGATTTTAGCGTACTGTATAGTATGGAAGTATGGGGTTTCGGACGCAGCCTGAGTTTTTGGGTGGTTTCTATGACAAATATCTAAATATTGGTAAATATTAGGCTTAAAAAAGCATTTTCTAGACAAGTAAAAAATAGTGTCTTGTTTTCAGAATTATTAAGGCAAAAATAAAGAAAGTTTTCTTTAAAACAAGCAAAATAATCTGTCAGTTGGGTGGGCAAAATTATCTTTTTTCAAAGCGTAAACGAGATTTTTTCACTTACCCCGTCCATTGGCAGACAATTTTGATTATTTTAACGAAAAAAAAAAAAAAAAAAAATATATATATATATATATATATATATATATATATATATATATATATATATATATATATATATATATATATATATATATATATATATAATTTATTATTCCTAAAAAAAAAAAAAACAAGCCCTTATTTTTACTTGTCTAGAAAAAAAATACTCCTTGATTTGAGAATCAAATGAATTATCCATTGGCAGATAATTTAGATTATTTTAACGAGGAAAAAAAAACATTTTTTTTTTAATTATTTGTTATTCCTGAAAACAAGCCCGTATTTTTACTTGTCTAGAAAATACTCCTTGATTTGAGAATCTTTCTAGAATCTAGAAACAAGACAAATACTCCAAGGAAGTAGACAAAGATAGACCAAAAAAAACAAACAGCTTTGGAAATGACGTGAGGAGTAAATGACGGCGGAATATTCATGTCTGAGTGAACTATGGCTTCAAGAAAACACTCTTCATAAAAATGCCACATGAAATGACAATCCGGGCCCTCTGAGTCAAATGCTAACTCTGGGCGCATTAGCATCAGAGCTGTGTACGCTTGCACAGAGCATGTCATCTCAAAGCTCTCCCCCAGGCTTCTGGAGGTCTTACCTTGACTGCTGCTGCTGCTGAGAGACTGCAGAGAAGTGGGAGCCAAGCTAGCGCTTGCTTTGGGCACCTCTCCATTATTCAACTGCTTGACCCTCTTGAGGTGAGACTTGCCGTTGTAGTGGACCTGGGCCTGAGCGGCGGAGTGCAGCTGGATGTTACAGACATCACACAGCGAGTAAAGCAGCTTCTTCTTCTCCTGCTGCAGCTGCATGTCTACGTTGGCATTAGTGGGCTCCTTTACCTCCACACAGCCAGGGATGGCAAAGCACAGCTGTCCGTTTTCTATCAGCTGGGTGGGGCTCAAAGGGGTCTTCATACCTGCGAAACAACAAAGCGATGAGGATTAGAAGTAGATAATTCAATATATTGTGATTATGAGTATGCACCATATTGATATCACACACACTTTTTCAGTGACTTTCTCAAAACTAGATTAAAGACCTATCTTTTTAGTAAAGCATACATGCAACGCATCACATAAATATAGTATGGCGAGTGGGATTAACAAACCACCCATAGGACACACTCTTTCTGTCTCAATACACCAGGCACATTGTTAGAAATACTTCTACGTTTTATATGCTTGTTTATATAACTCCTATTTTAATTTATAGCACTTCATTTTCACATAGACATTTATTATCTCATCCACAAATCCATTATGAACAGCTGCTACGCTGATAATTTTATTTGTTCTCGATTTCCACCTGGGGATGCCCATACCGAGGCCTCTAGAGACTTGATGAGATCCAAGAACTTTGAAGAGATGATGTCAACAATCAAGGATTTCAAGGACAACACGAAGTACGCAAAGATACTTCATTGAACATGTATACAGACATCATTAATACACAATATAGGTGCAGGTTTTTTTTTTTTAGAGGTTTTCACCTTTATTGATAGGACAGTGGAGATATAGAGACAGGAAAGTGTGAGGAGCAGAGATAGGGGAAAGATCAGCAAAGGACCTCGAGACGGGAATTGAACTCGGGTCGCTGCGAGCACCTCGGTGCTATGTGTCGACGCACTAACCACTAGGCTATTGGCGCCAACAATATATAGGTGCAGGTTAACTATGTTTATATATACACACACAATAAGAAGGTCACTGGTTCTAGCCCCGGATGGTCAGTTGGCATTTCTGTGTGGAGTTTGCATGTTCTTTCCATGTTCGTGTGGGTTTCCTTCAGGTGCTCTGAATTCCCCCACAGTCCAAAGACATGTGTTACAATATAGGTCAATTGAATAACCTAAATTGTCCGTAGTTTATGTGTGGGAAAAAGAGTGTGTGGTTGTTTCCCAGTGATGGTTTGCAACTGGAAGGGCATCCTCTACATAAAACATTTGTTTGATAAGTTCATTCACGGCGACCCCTGATTAATAAAGAGACTAGCTCGAAAGAAAATGAATGAATGAATCAAGCTATTAGCTACTAGTTAATTAAGTAAAGTTATTAGTTGCTTACACTGCAGACACAAGGGTACGGATCTGATTCATATCGGATACATTTCCACATGTGAACAAGGCCTGAATCTGATTAAAATCCATGTGCTTTTTTCCTGCTTACACGTACATGGGCCATATTCAGTCTGTGCCACATGCTAGAAAAAAAAACATCGGAATTGAGTCACTTGAACCATGCAGTGTAAATGCAGTCATAGTTAAGCCGCCTTTTCACTGCACACGACATTTGGACACGACTGTCGGAATTCGCCCCCTTGTGACAGTCGCACAGAATTTTCAGTTCTGACGTGCACCATAGGAGAGAAGCTGTTCTCGCAGTGTCCGAAATAAAGGAGTGCAAAAGCAATTCTCTATGGTTGAATGAATAAATGAATACTAGAAACTCAGAGCGCTAAAATATTGGAGGGAATGTTGAGACAACATAAACATTATTTTTATTACTTTATTACTTACATTTATGAATAGAAATATATATATATATATATATATATATATATATATATATATATATATATATATATATATATGTTTTGGATTTAAAAAATAACCAAATAAAGTCCTATTTCTTATCTGGTAAACACAGACCTGCTTGAACAACACTGGAATACATCACATCCGGTCGGCAGGTCGCATACGGTCTAGATGCAGGAGTTCAAATATTTAAACTGTAGAGTTGATTTTTAAACAATAAAAGTCGACAGAGCAGAGATCAACATCCCATGATGCAATTCACAACCATAAACAAACGGAAAACACAATCACAAAAAATGGAAACTGTAAATTAACAGATTTTTTTCTACAGTGTACCATGATAAAAGCTTCAGCAATTAATCCCAACAAGAAAAATTGATACCTGCAGAAGGGTTGATGCTAGATCAGATATGGTTACGACCGGAAGTTAATGGGACTAATTTATATTATTTATTAAATTTCCTAGTTACTGTATTTTACTAACGTCTACCCCCGCCCCAACCTTAAACTTAACTGTCACAGTAATGTAAAAACAGTATTATTATTATTTATGCTCTCTATTAAATTACCCAATAAATTGTAGTTTTTCCAACCCCAACTATCACAGAACAGCAAAAATTTTAATTATTGTTATACACTATCATAAAAAAATGCTGCTACATTAATGTGCATATCGCACTTCTGGCCGACTGCATATCCAATCTAGACCCTGCAGAAGCCTAGATAGAAGCATGGAAATTGTTTAATCCAAACCAAGTCTCGAGATGACTCACCTTCCGAATTGAGCATCACCCCACACTGAGCTTTTAGGAAAGCAGGTGGGGAGTGTTTACATCCTAAAACCACCAATGTCGAGAAATGGAAAGGTGTGTGTGTGAGTGTAGATGTCTGGAGCTCTTGTGTGGGCTACACGGGTGGCTGAATGTTCTCTCCCTCAGCTCTGACTCCTCCCCACCGCACGCTCAAGCCAAGCTTCCCTGCTTGTGGAGCGGGCACAGAGCTGTGGACTGACCTCCTGTGCCCATCTGTTGCCTTTGAGAAGAGACCCGACACACATACCTCATGGTCACGGCTCTTAATGTTCGCTGCATTTATCAACTTGACTGCGCTAACATTACTGGGTGAGAATGACAACAGAATGACTTTACTGTCCTTCTTAAAGCGGCTTATAGCTCAGCTGGAGAATTTCAGAACTGATGAGCTCTCTGCGGTTTTGAAACCACGTAACGAAATCAGCACTGCACTGACTTGAGCTGATGTCTTCTATTGTAGTCAAAACTACAGTGGCGGAGATGGCTCAACTCACTGCAACTTAAGAAAACGGAGATGGAAAAAACACCAGAATATTAAGAAAACCCCTTCAACGCATGTTGCAAATATTCACAATGCAAACCTGCAGCAAATACTCAAAACACATGCAGCACAATTTGTTGTCCTTTCCATCATTAGCCTACAAAAAAGACCTGGATGATATTTAAAATATGATTCTTTTCTGGCAGGCAACATGGTGGCGCAGTGGTTAGCACTGTCCCCTTACAGCAAAAGGTTGCTGGTTCAAGCCCCAGTTGGTGTTTCTGTGTGGAGTTTGCATGTTCTCCCTGCGTTCACATGGTTTTTCACCACATTTCCGCGTAGTGCTCCGGTTTCCCCCACAGTCCAAAGACATGCGGTATAGGAGAATTGAAGAAACCAAACTGACTATAGTGTTTGAGTGTGAGTAAATGTAAAAGTGTATGAGTGTTCCCCAGAACTGGGTTGTGGCTGGAAGGGTATCTGCTGCATAAAGCATGCTAAATAAGTTGAAGAGTTCAAGAGTTCACACTTAGAGTTCACAGAGTTTGACTTACCAAAGCTTGTTTGGCATGCTGTCCCGGGAGTGAGCCCTGAGCTCAAGGGATCCTCGAGTCCAGGGCTCCCTCCCTTTGTGGGGCGAGGGGAGATAAATTAATTTTCAGGGCGATCTCAAACTCCCCCGCAGCTAAGGCCACAGTGAACTTCCTAAGAGCGAGACGACTAGTAAAGAGACTTAGGTTTAAGCGGTCTATAATGCAGAGCGTATTTAGGCTTTGAGAGAAAACCGGAAACCCCGGGGAAAACGTGCCAGCTGTGGAGCAGAAACACCAAATGCTCAAGTAAGGACCCAGAGCCATTGGAATTCCTGCTGGTTGCTGGGCCGCCGAGCCAAATATTTTGGATAAAGGTGGAAGAAGGGGGAGGAGGGGGTTTCTTCAAGACAAAGATAGTTGTAAATGGAAAAGGAGGATATATATATAGGAACTTGGGATCCTTTGATTGGAGGATCGTGATTAGCTAATATGAGCCAGCTGGGTTAATCATGAGCGCGTACTCCTCTCGAAATTAGTTTCATATATTAAACTTCACATTGTGAAAAAGAAAAATCATTAACCTCTCAATTTTATTTTGTTTCACAGTTAATCGTCAGTTTATTCAGGCTAATAGTTTGCAAAAACAAAGGAATTGTGTAATCGGTGGTAAAATAAAAAATAAAACTCACCTACAACTTCCCTGACCTATAACCACAGCACATTAAGTAAATCTCAGTCAGGGGTGGGTTTCCCAAACAATGACGTAAACTCACAGCTGAACTTTCATAGTATGATGCATTGTTTGGGAACAGAATGATGTAGTTCTGCCCACACAGACACAGTGTTTTTGTCCTGTAAAAACAAGCTTTTTGAAGGCCCTCTCCTATGGACATAAATATGAAAACCCCTACATTATAGACTTACATCAGTTAACAATTTACACCTGTCGTTTATTTTAATAAATACAACAGCAATTTCTGAGAGAAAATGGTTGGTGGACCCTTTTTGTGTGAAGTGTAGGCCGTATATACACATTTCCTCTAAAAAAATCATTAAATAACATTTTATTAATTGGCTTTACTACTGTGCTAACATCGTACTTAACCCATTCATATTGTATTGCACAACATTTATGGTGCTATTAAGGTGGGATACAGGTAAGGTTGAACTACAGAAAATAATTGCAGATTACATGCAGATTTTTTTTATTTAAGCGCATTGTAACAAGTAGATGATCAATGTATTGTACCAAGTGAAATTAAGGCCACTTAATATAAAGTATAAAGTGGGATTCACAATCACTGTCAAATATACACTCACCAGGCACGTTATAGGGTATATGCTGAGCTAGTGCTGTTCCCATGCTGATACACTTCTGGTGACCTGTTATTGTGAACTTTTTCCCATTTTATACGGTTCCTTACACAGCATCGATGTTGTGATGTCATTAAAATACGTTCAGTTAAATAAATTTTAGCATTTATTTAGTTGCTCAAGCGTGAAACGAGACAAAAAGCCGTTTACCCGCACGCGCCCGTCAGAATCGGCAGGCTAACGCAGAAGCTCCATTGAATATACTGGGTTAATATAAATGCTCATATTATAAAGATATGGCGGGGGAAATGTAATTTAATGCAGTGCTTCTTGTACAATCTGAGACCCACTTTAAATCGGATATCACTCAGCTAGTGGAGATTGCTTATTTTTAAAGAAAACAGACCTTAAACGCACCGGATTTTGCATTTGCAATCAATTCGCCGGAAGCGCTTAACCCAGGTTAATGGCAAATTAAAAGTCCTATTAGCATGCTTCGGCATATACCCCATTAGGTACACCTGTCCAACTGCTCATTAACACAAAATTCTAATCAGCCAATCACATGGCAGTGACTCAATGCATTTAGACATGTAGACAAGGGCTGCATCCAAAACCGCCTACTACTCAGTAGGTACTCCATTTGAATTTAAATGTACTACTCGGCTGTTAGAAAAGTATCAATGAAAGAGGTATGAATGGAACTCTGACATACTACATTAGCCATGTTGTCATTGTCACGTGACCTACTCATGTCAGTTGCGTGCTTCACTCCCATTCATAAATTCTTTTGTGGGGCATCATGGGATAGCGCAGTGTGCATGGGATGCACACTTAAGAATCTCCCCGATAGTAGTAGTTCACCCGGGTACTTCTTGCATACTGATTTTTGAATTCTAGGAATTCGGACATACTATTCGGCTCACATACTGATTTTAGTGTACTATATAGTATGGAAGTATGCAATTTCAGGGCGCAGCCATGGTCAAGACGATCTGCTGCAGTTCAAACAGAGCATCAGAATGGAGAAGAAAGGGGATTTAAGTGACTTTGATCGTAGCATGGTTGTTGGTGCCAGACGGGCTGGTCTGAGTATTTCAGAAACTGCTGATCTGCTGGGATTTTTACGCACAGCCATCTCTAGGGTTCACAAAGAATGGTAAGAAAAAGAAAAAATATCCAGTGAGTGGCAGTTCTGTGGGTGCAAATGCCTTGTTGATGCCAGAGGTCAGAGGAGAATGGCCAGACTGGTTCCAGCTGATAGAAACAGCAACTCAAATAACCCCTCGTTACAACTGAGGTCTGCAGAAGAGCATCTCTGAACACACAACACGTCCAACCTTGAGGTGGATGGGCTACAGCAGCAGAAGACCACACCAGGTGCCACACCTGTGAGCTAAGAACAGGAAACTGAAGCTACAATTTACAAAGGCTCACCAAAACTGGACAATAGAAGATTGGGAAAACGTTGCCTGGTCTGACGAGTGTTAATTTCTGCTGCAACATTATGATTGTAGAATTTGCCATCAACAACATGAAAGCATGGACCCTTCCTGCCTTGTGTCAACAGTTAAGGCTGGTGGTGGTGGTGTAATGGTGTGGGGAATATTTTCATGACTCACTTTGGGCCCATTAGTACCAATTGCCTACCTCTTCTGACGACTACTTGCAGCAGAATAATGCACCATGTCATAAAGTACGAATCATCTCAAACTAGTTACTTGAACATGACAATGAGTTCACTGTACTCAAATGGCCTCCACAGTCACCAGATCTCAATCCAATAGAGTTTTTTCAGTACTTTGTTAAATCTGTGCCACGATGAAATTAAGGCAGTTTTGAAGGCAAAGGGGGGTTTAACCTGATACAAGTAAGGTGTACCTAATAAAGTGGCCACTGAGTGTACACTTCTGAAAGGGATGAGGAATTTTAAAAAAAAAAAATCATGATCATGTCAAAAAAAAAATAAGTGAGCCTTTTTTCTCTGTATAATCTCCGTGAACTTTTATTATATTATCCAAATATAGAGCAAGATTAACTCAGCATTTTCTGACATTTTAGTGTGGATGAGAAACCTTTGGAAAATGCTAATGAGGAAGAATCACAATCGGTTTTAAAAAGCTGCTTTAAACCGCGTCCAGAATAATTCAGACAAAGTCTTATGCAAGAGAGTGAATGAAAGGAAGACTTTCTATCCAAAGGGGCATGAGCAACTATGAAGAGCTTATACCTGTCAGCAACAGCAGCAGCAGACACACAGACACACACACACACAAAAACAGTTATTGTGTGTCTAGGGTTCTGCGGGACTGAATACATTACATAAAGCCTCCTCTCGAACCTCGACCTCTCAAGCCTCAACTAAATGGACTGCGTAATGGATAACTGCAAAAGGGGAATGGTGAGCTCTGGTAAATTGTGATCTTTTTAATCTCATAGCAAAAATAAAACTGCACATCTAGTCAGTCCGCACTAATGCTACAGCTGGAGGCTTCCTGGGCTGGATGATAGAGGATAAAGAAACAAAGATACCAATTGAGTCAGCTGCACTTTTGAGAGCATGCCGAGGATGAAATCCACTGCTGCGCGCATGCATGTGTGTAAGAAAAGACAGACTGCAGATAAACTGAAATGTAATGCAATATATTATTTTACTCCACAATTTGAATGACTTAAGTCTTCTGGCCATATTACCATTGAGACTTATTGCAAAACAAAACAAAACAAAAAATTAAGTTAAAAATTATAAAA